TGTGGCTAGAGTATGTGTAAAGGTTTGGTGCTGAAATAATACAATATATGTCCCAAACCTGAAAATAATGTTCACCAATAATGGGGACTTCACATGCTACGGGCACTAGGTTTACCCCATACCCAGACAAATGCTGACTTATGAACTGTCCAGATTTCCATTTTATCTCAGTAAGTCTTAAACAAGACTTGGCAGAGATCATGTTGGTATATGTTATGCCAGTTAGCCAGATTAATAGTAACAGTAACAGAAGGAGTTCTTTATTAGCATCTGACAACTCTTTCAGTCTTTTTGTTGTTCCTCCAGCAGCATTAAAAAAGTGTAATTGGCGCTAAATTCAAATTATGCTTTGCCTCTCTTTTTTTATGTAAGCTTCAAATAATCTGCAAATCATTGTTTTTCACAGCATCCTAACTTGTTAACTAAAATGTATATAGCTGTATATATCTCTGATGTAATAAAAAAAAAATTCCGTTTATTTAAGTCAGACAAACCCTGAACATCACATAATTTTATGTCACGTGTAAATCTCGGCTCAGTCTTTCATTCCATAGAGCCTGATTCTCGGCCTTTCACTTAAACCTTCAGTTAGAGAACGCTTTTAGTCCTTAAAGGCGAGAATATCGAGCTTTGCATTAGTCGTCCGAGCATACACACACATACATGCACATATCCCAGAGCGCTGTTGGTGTTAAAAGGTACTAAATTAATGGTGTGCTTAATAATGGCGACCGAGGCGCTGTCCGTGGTGCTAAAATTACTGCCGGTGTAATCTCAGCAGTGCGGCGAACAGCACCGCGGACAGCGCCTGGTGTTTGTGGGGCAGCGGGTGTGCAGCAACACTTTTAGGAGGTGTGACGACTGGAGCCTTCTAGCGACTGTGAGTTTTATCTCTGGACTTTTCATTTAGCTGTTGGTGTTTTTAAAAGTCGCAGTCAAAGGCAGATGATGGCTTCCGTGCCCGTTTTTTTCGATGGCTACTTTTGTGCGCCGCTTTCCTGCTTCACATTAAATAAAAGTACACCGATGACTCCCCAGCAGATGGTGCCAGTGGGTAGTTTATCTAATCAGCTCTTCCCGGACACATTTCAATAGGTGGCGCTCGAACCTCGCGTTCACGTTTGAGTTGTTTACATCTGTGTCGTGGAGGTGACGTTATTTGTTGTCCTGGGTTGTGCACGCAGACGGTGATGCGTACACGCGTGCACGCTTGATGAGCTTGGTTTGATTATAGCTTTCGTGACCTTCGCTGTCCCTCAAAGACACAGAGGCTACCAGCATGGGACAGTGTCAGTGGGTTTGAAGGTATAATGACACGCACACACACACACACGGTGTCGGCATGACGCCACTCATTTGTTTGTGAAAAGGGTTAAAGGAACAGCTCCCCCAAAAATTAAATATATCCGTTTTCCCTCACTCTGTGTCCTGTGGTCCTGTTTAACCATCTAGACTGGATTGATGGCAGCAGCCCAGTTTCTCTGCCCTTTCTTGAACAAAATCACGTGATGCTACAAGTGTCAAAATTACATTTGAGCACATGCTTTTAAAAAAAGCACTGCACGAGTGAACTATATAAATAATTAAATAATAAAATAAACATCAAAAGAAGACAGATGCAATTTGGGTGATGATGTGTGTGTGTGTGTGTGGGGGGGGGGGGGGAAAAAGCTATTTTAGCCATGTTGTTGCAATTAATAGCACTGCCACTAGGCTGGGATTAGACTTTAGACTGACTCGTGTAACTGTAAATAGTTGTCTGTAAAAAAAAAAAAAAAAAGAGAATATCGAGTCTGCGTTTGAAAAGGTCAGATTCTGGGATTTGTTTATTTATTCATGGATGTACGTATTTATTTAATGAAACATGGCACACACACACACACACACACTTCACCATATTACCATTTGCAGTTTCACTTGACCAGAGGGAAATAACCTAAACAGAAATATTTAATGTTCCCTCACTCTCGGCCCTGATGTTGTTTCCCCCTCCACAGCAGGTCACCCCGCTTTCAGAATGGCGGCCTCTCCTGCCTAGTAACAGTATCCAACACCACTGTCCTCCCGTCTCTATGGCAACAGAGAGCCACCCCTTTCCTGTCCTCCTTCCCATTGATCCAAGTTGAGCCAAGGTGTGTGCGTGTGTGTCTATGTGTGTGTGGTTGAGTCCTGGATGACCGTGACCCTTGCATCACCCGTGCTTTTCCCCCATCAGTGAACTTGAAGTATGGCCGATTTGGCATTTCTTGAAAACCAAACTTTTGAACTTCTGAAAGGAGGCAAAAAACAATCACAAAACTAAACAAAACGATGATAAACACCATTTAAAAACGCCGATATCCACCCCTGAGATCCACGGCTCAGTGCTGCAGACTGACTTATTATTATAAGCAAAGAGAGCTGCTTCCTCCCAGATATATTTGACTGGTAAACAAACACACCGCTCTCCCTTCAAACTGTTCACACAACCCAGCTCGCAAGTGTGCGTCAGAGCGTATGGCGAGCTGAGATGAGAGGCGCTTTCAAACGCGGCTTCAGAGGCACTCGTTTCTAACCCCTGTCCATCTCCACTGATGTCAGCGCTGTAGGCAAAATCACGCTCCACTCAGATCCGCACTGATCAAAAAACAGAAAGAAAAAAGAAAAGAAAACAAATGCGTCCCCAGGAGGATAAGCTGCACCGAAATGATTCAGGGCCCTGCGTGGTTTGGTTTGGCTCTGCGCGTCCAGTGGCATCGCCTTAAAGGTGGACGAGGCCGAAATGTCACCTGCATGTCAGATTGACATCTTTGTGTCCCATTTCACCTTAAGGGAGGGAAGGAAGGGGGCATTGTTGCTCTGTGAGCAGCGGGGCCTGTCCACGTTGTTTTTCACTCGGCTGAACAACAGCCTGGCGGTAGCTTACGCGCTTGTGCCAGCAGCAGGAGGACGCTCTGTGTCTGAGCTCATGAATGATTAAAAGACGGCTATTTCGCGGCTGCAGCTAAAATTGGGAGTTAGCCCTGCCTTAGCTATAATTAGAAAGCAGATGGAAAGCGTTCATTAGCGCATAGGACGGTTTAGACGTTTTCAGGTGACCATGCCCCGTGTGTGTGTGTGTGTGTGTGTGTGAGTGAGAGAGAGAGAGAGAGAGTAGAGGGGGTCTGCGTTGGGGAGGTAATGTAAGCGCGTATCCCGAAACTTCCCCCACCCCCGCACCCCGTCTGCCGTCAAGGTCAGACGGAGGCGCATCCTTTTGCGTCAAGAACCCGGTGGGGAGAAATTAAACTCCAAATCAATCGCCCTTGAGCCGAAGGCGAGCACGCGGATACGCCCGCGTGCCACTGAGTCTCGTTTGTTTTGTGAACGTGTGAAAAAAAAGAAAGAAAAAGCAGCCGAGCGTGGCTCTTCTCTGCTCTTCTGCTCATCTGTCCATCCTGGCGCGTGCGTGCCAGGAGCAGATCACGGGCCATTGCCGTAATTGCACAGCGAGCGATATACGGAAGAGAAGGGTGGGAGGAGCAGGAGGAGGGGGCATTCTGAACCCGATGAAGCGCCCTTGGCTGCACGGGAGAAATTCAAGAATGACCGAAATAGGCGAAGCTCGAGCAAAGCGGAAAGAAGAGGAGAAGACGCTGATTACTGACGCGCGCCCGGGCACGCTGCCGGCAGCGCCTCGTCTGTCACTCAAGAGGGAGAGGAAAGGAAAGAGAGGAGGAGATGGCTGAATGGGAGGAGAGTTACAGTCCCACTCCCTCCTCCCCCTCCTCCCCCTCCCCTCCCTTCCTCCTTATTTTCATTCATGGCACAATCAGTGACACATGCCTACACATATCTCCCCCATGCAGTGCCTGGCTCGCTCTCTCTCCGTCAAAAGACCGCTCTGTCTCTCCCCTTTACACACAAGCACACACACACACAC